TATTTCTCAAGTTTAATAACGCCAATTTAAATCTTCACTTCTTTCTACATTTCTGCATTTGTTGAATTGCTTCCAAACGCACCTTATTGGAAATATGAAAACATTGTAAATAAAAAATCCCAATTTCCAAAAAGTAATAATTTCCAAAATTTAATTTTTGTTTTAAAATATTCTTTTTATTGACTCTCACATAAACATAATTAAGAATAATTGATACAGTATAAAAAATTAATTTAGAAATTTTTTAAGAGTATCTTTTGCTAAAGATATATTAATTAAATGCTTTTTAAGTTAGAAACCTAAAAGAAGAATATATTAAAACGGATACAGTAAAAAAAAGTCTAAATACACGTTAAATTAAAATCAACGTATTTAAGTTATTTAATAAAAATAATATAATGTAACTTAAATATAATCTTACTCATATTAATATGACTTGTATTATATATTTATGTTAACTTAATGTTTTATTAATAACATGTTAATCATTGACTAATTTAAAAATTAAATTAAATTCTCACTAAAAATAATAATAAAATTAAATTAAAAAATATTTAAAATCTTTCTAAAACTGTTATTTAATATTTTATATTAATTAAAAAATATTTTTATTTGTCTTTTATATTAATCATTTTCTATTTTATACTTTTCTCTCAACCATCTTATCTTAATTTGTATATATCCTTTTGTGATGTTACTTAACATATATATTGTCACAAAAGATGTTTTCCTTACTTTATATAAAGTAAGGACAGTTCTAATAAAAGTTAACTCGCATAAGTTATTTAAAAAAAAATTATCATGTTTGAAAGGAAAATATGAAACGACCATGGCAACGACTTGGACTATAACCAAAGTTTCGGTGATTTTCCATAATTTGATGCTTTTTTTTTTTTTTAATTCGATCGAAACTCTCCACATGGAAGCTTAGTTGCAATTGCGGCAAACAGTGATTCCTTGTAGGATGAAAAATGTGAAATGTGAAGACACTGTAAATTCCAAACGTAAATCCATTTTTGCTTCGTATAATGATATAATAATATGAGTGATGAAGTCAACCAAACAAATCAACCCAAGATAGGCCATCCCAGCTTGCAAATTGCAATGCATTTCTTCCTTTAAGAAAGCAGCAACATTTATATAATCAGTCAATTATTGTGGACCACACCACCATGTAGTTTTTTATGTTTTCCTGGTATTTGCACTTGGGTGTGGCTTTTATGAACAGAAACTAATTCACTCCTAGATGGATTCTTGTGACAGAATATGTTTTACAATTCCGAAACCTTCGCAGAAATCGATTCTGCTATATAAGTGAGTTAAAACATTAACATAGAGACCATTCCAAATGCTAGACATGACAACTTTCCAAAAGGTTCATGCTCTAGTCTTTCCTATACTCTTCTTATATTTGCTTCCATTGAATATCACTTCATCTCCAACAACAGAAGCAGAAGCCCTTGTCAAATGGAGAAACAGTCTAACCCCTCCTCTTCCTCCTTCTTTGAACTCATGGTCCCTCACCAACCTTCCCAACCTTTGCATTTGGGATGCCGTTGTTTGTGACAGCACCAACACAACAGTCTCAGAGATAAACTTATATGGTGCCAATCTCACGGGGACTCTCTCTGCCTTGGATTTTGCTTCCCTCCCTAACCTCACCCAACTCAACCTTGATGCCAACATGTTTGAGGGGTCAATACCATCAACAATTGGCAACCTCTCAAAGCTCGCTCTATTGGACTTGGGGAACAACCTTTTTGAAGGCGCACTGCCCTATGAGCTAAGCCAGCTGAGGGAGCTTCAATATCTCAGCCTTTACAACAACAATCTCAATGGCACCATTCCTTATCAGCTCCTGAATCTTCCTAAGGTATGGTACATGGACCTTGGATCAAACTATTTTGTAACTCCTCCTGACTGGTCCAAATATTCATGCACACCTTCCTTGACCCGCCTTGCTTTACATCTCAATCCATCATTGACTGGTGTATTCCCAAGTTTCATATTAGAGTGCCATAACTTGACGTACCTTGACATCTCTCAGAATAGATGGAATGGCAGTATACCAGAATCCTTGTATAGCAATTTAGGCAAGCTAGAATACCTCAACCTCACCAACTGTGGGTTTGAAGGAAAACTGTCACCCAACTTGTCCATGCTTCCAAATCTCAAAGAACTTCGTATAGGTAATAACATGTTTAATGGTTCTGTTCCCACTGAGATAGGATTGATATCTGGGCTTCAATTTCTTGAATTGTCTAACATTTCTGCCCATGGGAAAATTCCTTCTTCCTTAGGCCAACTCCGGGAGCTAAAGCATCTTGATCTCAGTGTAAATTATTTCAATTCTACGGTCCCTTCTGAGCTTGGCCTATGCACAAATCTATCCTTCTTGAGTTTAGCACTGAATAAATTGTCTGGTCCTTTACCTATGTCATTATCTAGTCTGTCTAGAATATCAGAATTGGGAATATCAGATAATTACTTTTCTGGTCAACTTTCTGCTTCACTCATCTCTAATTGGACTCAGTTGACCTCCTTGCAAGTCCAAAACAATAATTTTACAGGGGAGGTTCCTCCACATATTGGCCTATTGAAAAAAATTAACCTCCTCTATCTGTACAGTAATCACTTCTCTGGTCCCATTCCTGTAGAGATTGGAAACCTGAAGGCAATGACCCAGTTAGACCTTTCAAAAAACAACTTCTCTGGCCCCATTCCACCTACACTTTGGAATCTAACAAACATTCGAGTCATGAATCTTTTCTCCAATGAGCTCTCTGGAATCATTCCAATGGATATCGGAAACTTGACCTCACTGCAAATCTTTGATGTCAACACCAATAACTTGTATGGGGAGTTGCCAGAGGCCATTGTTCAACTAACTGCTTTAGGCACATTTTCTGTGTTTACCAATAACTTCAATGGAAGCATTCCCAGAGAATTTGGAAAGAGTAATCCTTCTTTGGATCATGTCTACCTTTCAAACAACAGTTTCTCAGGAGAACTGCCTCCTGACTTATGCAGTGGTGGCAAGCTAACTATTTTGGCAGTCAATAATAACAGCTTCTCAGGGCCATTGCCAAAGTCCTTGAGAGATTGTTTCTCACTCGTTAGAGTTCGGCTTGATGATAACAAGTTCACTGGAAACATCACGGACGCATTTGGGGTACTCCCAAATCTTAGTTTTATAACACTTAGTAGAAATCAGCTTGTCGGTGAGCTCTCCCCGGAGTGGGGTGAATGTACCAACTTAACCCTGATGGATATGGGAAGCAACAAACTTTCTGGAAAAATTCTGTCTGAGCTAAGTAAATTGAGTAAGTTAAGGTCTCTAAGCCTTCAGTCTAATGATTTCACGGGTAGCATCCCACCTGAAATCGGAAATCTAGGCCTGCTTTATATTTTCAACTTGAGCAGTAATCATTTAACGGGAGAAATCCCAAAGAGTTATGGCAGATTGGCTCAGCTAAATCTTCTTGATTTATCAAATAACAACTTCAGTGGAAGCATTCCTAAGGAGCTTGGTAATTGTGATCGCTTGCTGAGCCTGAACTTGAGCCATAACAGTCTATCTGGGGAGATACCAAATGAACTTGGCAATCTGTTCTCACTCCAAATCATGTTGGACATCAGCAGCAACTCTCTTTCTGGGTCTCTGCCCCAAAACCTTGGAAAGTTAGCAACATTAGAGATTCTCAATGTATCACACAACCACCTATCAGGCACAATCCCACAATCATTTTCAAACATGATCAGCCTTCAATCTATTGATTTTTCTCACAACCACTTGAGTGGTTCCATACCCACAGGTGGTATTTTCCAGTCAGCAACTGCAGAAGCCTATGCTGGGAACTCAGGTTTGTGTGGTGAGATAAAAGGATTAACTTGCCCCAAATCATTTCCCTCAGACAGATCTGGAGGAGTTAAGAAAAAGGTTCTTCTTGGTGTTATCATACCAGTTTGTGCCTTATTTATTGGGATAATTGGTATTGGAGTAATACTTTGCCGGCGACATGCCAAAAAACACCGTGATGAAGAGTCCAAAAGCATTGAAAAAAGTGATCAGCATAATAGCATGGTGTGGGGAAGAGACGGAAAATTTACATTTTCGGATCTTGTTAAGGCCACCGACGACTTCAATGACAAGTACTGCATCGGAAAGGGAGGATTTGGAAGTGTTTTCAGAGCACAATTACTCACAGGTCAAGTAGTTGCTGTTAAAAGGCTAAATATGTTAGACTCTGGTGACATTCCAGCAGTGAACCGCCAGAGCTTTGAGAATGAGATAAGATCACTTACAGGAGTAAGACACCGCAACATAATAAAGCTTTATGGGTTCTGTTCTAGGAGGGAACAAATGTTCTTGGTTTATGAACATGTAGACAGAGGAAGTTTGTCAAAAGTGTTGTATGGAGAGGAAGGAAAATGGGAGCTAAGATGGGCCACAAGGCTGAAAATCGTGCAAGGAATAGCGCATGCAATTTCATACCTGCACACTGATTGTTCCCCACCAATTGTGCACCGGGATGTAACACTGAATAACATACTACTAGACTCAGACTTAGAACCTCGTCTTGCAGATTTTGGCACAGCAAAGCTGCTGAGCTCAAACACTTCAACATGGACCTCAGTTGCCGGATCCTATGGCTATATGGCTCCAGGTACACCTTCCAACCAATTTGAATTCTAGCAGTATATATACTATAGTGTACATCATGCTAAGCCAGTCTTAAATATGTTCTATTAGATGTTTCTAACAATTTAAAAACATATGTATTAAATGATTTATTTTTTAGAAACAATGAACAATCTCTTTTTTAATACAATTTTTTATTGCATTTCTTAAACCAATGTCTTAATATATACCCTTTTTGTCTGGTACAGTGCTTTAGAGTAGCATTCAGCATATGCTCTTGTTATAATAGACTGCATATAAATTAAAGAGTGAGATGAGTCACTGATAAAAGTTGAAATTTGCAGAACTAGCACAAACGATGAGAGTGACTGACAAGTGTGACGTGTATAGTTTTGGAGTGGTGGTGTTGGAGATAATGATGGGAAAGCATCCGGGAGAACTCTTGACTACACTATCTTCAAACAAGTATTTGCCATCAACGGAGGAACCACAGGTGCTACTGAAGGACGTGCTTGACCAAAGGCTTCCACCTCCAACAGGCCAATTAGCAGAAGCAGTAGTGTTCACAATGACCATAGCTTTGGCATGCACACGTGCAGCTCCAGAGTCCAGACCCATGATGCGTGCTGTGGCTCAAGAACTATCGGCTACTACACAGGCTTGTCTTCCGGAGCCATTTGGCATGATAACCATGACCAAGCTTACAGGGTTCCAGAAATAGTGTCATGTTGGACTATCACTGTGGGGGTGTCCCTGTTTTGTTTATATTTTCCGCACACAAATATGTATAATCAGTAGTAGAGTTATATTTAAAGTTGAAATTTTGAATTAGAATAAAGGATAGGCTTTATGATTGGAGCATATGAAGAAAATCTGCTTATGTGTGTGATATTATTGATATTATTGCTTTAAATATAAAAATAGCATTTTAGATTGAGCACAGTTTGATTTTGTCGTAGTGTAGAATGCATCAAGATGGCTTACGTTTCAGGAAACAAGTTTTATAGAAAATAAATTAACTTTATATAGCTATTAATTGTTCCACATGAATTTATATACTATTCTTCATAATGTAGGAAAAAGAAACAAAATAACAGACAAGGTCCATGGAGAAAAACGGGTATAAATAGAATGCCCAGGAAATATCCCTACACTTGTGTGCACGGCCCTAACACTTTGCCTTTGAGGAAAGGACAATGACCCAGAAAAAGATTCCAGCCATGAACCGTAGCCATGGTTAATGGCATCAGAGATTCCAGGCACAATTCCCACCATATTCAAAATTACTAGACTGCTTGGTGGTATAAGGAGAGCATGTTAGTGGGAATATTTAAGGAGTAGAACGAAAGAGCGGAAAGAAAATGTGCACGAAATCTCCAAGAATCAAAATGTGCATAAACACTTTTATTTAGGCTTGACAAATTTGCTCCCACCCTTATCTAGTCTTGGGTACTTGGTTTTGAAGAAGAATTTCCTTCATAAAATCATCAAAACCTTTAAGTTTTGCAGTTTTAAAATCAAGCCGTGACCACCGTAGTGTTTAAATAATGATCATTTTGCTTGTATCTCTTGTGAACTAAATGGATAAAGACAAATTAATTTGAAAATGAAGTGGAAAAAGTAATTCCCGTTGCTTAAGGTTTTATAAGACACCCACCTTTTTAAAGAACTACAGTACCCTTTTTTTATTATTCGGATAGGTTAAAATAAACAGTTCTTAACATATAAGTTTGGATGGTAGTATTTGATGAGATACTATCCTAATTCATTCCTCGCTTATGATTTAAGATGAAGCCATTATCTGTACTGTACACTAGAATCTCCTAATAAGAAATTTGAAGGATGTCATGATCAAAAATTTGACTCATCATTTTTGTGACAAAATGACACATACACATGCAAGCCCTCATTGAACACAACAGGACAGGGGGGACTCAAGTTATGGAGCTCTAAACATCAATCTAACAAGTCTTCGTTACTAAATAAAAATCTTGAATGAATCAGTATCGTCTTGTCAGTTCAATGCTGATTCAGTAGATCATATTGCTTATTCCTCTGTCCTTGCACGCTTTGGGGCTTGAGCACCACTATCTTCACTAGCATGTTGCTTAGGATTCTCAGAAGCTTTACATTCAGGAGCATCCTGCTCTTCACACACTTTCGATGAACTTTCTTCAACTGTGGTACTGCCATTAGCTTGATCAGGTCCTGACTTGCAATGGTCCACTTTGACGGTTTCGGATTCAGTTTTGGCTGTAGAATCTTTCTGGGCATCAGAGGACACTCCAGATGGGCCCCCAATGGCAGACCATGATGCAGTTAAATAATGAATAAATTGTAACAAATCTGTAGCAAAGAAATTACCTATATTTATAACATCTTTCCTTAGTGTAGTATTTTTAAAACGTCTCATAAAATTCTGTGCAATGTGTTTAATGCAGTAGACATGCACTGAATTATTTTCTATCTATCCGCTTCCATTTTTCATGTATGCACTTCTAATGGATTCATGTCGGTCTGATATGAGACATAATCCTTGCTTGGGGTGTGACATATCTTTGGAGGTTTTTTAAGAAAAAAAAATAGGCATCACTTGTTTCACCTTCAACCACTGTAAATGCAATGGGGAAGATGTTGTTGTGGCCATCTTGTGCTACTGCAACCAACAAGGTACCTCTATATTTTTCGTACTAAAAAGTTTTGTCCACTTGAACAATGGAATTGCAGTGAACAAATCCGTTTATGCATGGCCTAAACGTCCAAAACACACGCTTAAAAATATTTGAATTTTATTGAAGGACCTCACCTTGGTAAGCTAGTTGTGACTGCAGTTTGTAGATGAATCCGGGAACAAATTGTTGCATGGCTTGTAACAAATAAGGTAACTTCTTATATGAATCCTCCCAATTTTCGTAGATGGTCTTCACTACCTTTTGTTTGGTCAGTCAGGCCTTCCTACACGTTATAGTGTAACTTGTTGTTAATTGGATGTGGGTTATGATTGTGAAGATTAGTGTTGACGAATCAGCATCAATTATTTGACCAATTATTTGGGAAATCATTTTATATCCTAACTTTTTGTGATCTTGGCTAATTAATTAATGGCGAAATGCATGTTGAAAGAATTAATGGTTGAGTTCAAGAGGGGGGTGAATTGAACTTTAAAACTTTTTCGCAAAACTTACTTTCTTTTGGAAGAATGAGTTATCTTTATTCAATCTTTGCGAAGGTAATTTGGTTTAAACACAGCAAGTTTATAGACAGAAAATAAAAGAGATGAAAGAAGAGTTTTAACACACAAATTTATCTTGGTTCACTCTAATCCGAGCTACATCCAGTTCTTGACAAACCAGTCAAGTTCCACTAATACCAAGTGAAAATTACAACCAGGTAGATACTCACCAATCTACCCCAAGAACTATCTTGCAAACCCACAAAATAGAATCTTGAAAACCACCCGAGTAACCAAATCCGATTCTTGTACCAAGTGCATATCACAATCCAACCTGCACAATCACACTTTTACAAAAGAGTATGGAAAGAAAAAACCTGGACTTGAAGTTCTAATTGTCGAGAACAAATTCTAACGACACTTTCTCTCTTTGATTGACCACAATTCTGATCCACGACACCTTATGATATGAAAAGATTCTTGAATGCGAGAGAAAGTCACGTATATGAAAGTTTCATAGATTGATTTCACAAGTTTTCTCAAGTAGTGTGTTGTATATTTCAAAAGATAGATCAATTCTGTATATATAGAGTAAAACAAAGAATCAGAACGTTTCATCTGTCAAAAGCTGTTTCAGAGAGTCACAAGATCGATTAGTTTGAAGTATAACGAGGTTAGAAGAGACTCATCGATCGATTAGACGATCGAAGTATGATCGATCAGAATGAAACTATGATCGATCAGATTACATTTCAATCGATTGAAACCACGATTCAATCGATTGATTTCATTTAAAAGTTCATTCAATCGATTGTTTGAGTTTTCAATGGATTGAAACGACTTTAGAAAAAATGATAGCTCTCTGTTTTAATCGATTGAAAATCATTTCAACAGATTGAAATCCTGCAAGTCTTTTAAACGAGAAAGATAACCTCTCGTTTCAACAGATTGAAAAGTATTTCAACGGATTGATTTTCGAAAACTCTTAGACTTTTTTTTTAAAAAAAACTTTACGTTTCAACAGATTGAAAATTATTTCAACAGATTGAAAATGCGAAACCATGATATTTGAAAAAATTCACTAAGTTATTTTAACTTGTTGATTATGCGAATCAATCAATTGAAAATACGATTATGTATGACCACTTATTACGTTAAGTGATTTTAACAGATTGAAAATCTTTTTCAACTGATTAAAAAAACTTAGTTTGTTCTTTTAATACTTGAATGTGAGTTTTTCATGCGAGAAAATGATTTTCAATGAGATGCAATGTTTTAAGGTGCTTATCACAAAATATAATGGACTATCAAGAGATTAAGTGCTTAAACTAAAAACCTAATCATCTACACACCCACAACCTAAGCTATATCTATGTCTTCATCAAATCCACCAAGTGCTTCAATCTCCCCCTATTTGATGGAGACAAATAACCACTGCACTGCATAAAAAATAACATACCGAGAGACATATATTTTGTGGTGTGTGTGTAGTGACGATTTTAAGCAAAATACTTCTCCCCTATTTGATCGCATCAAATAGATTGTTTTAATTACTGATCAATGGGGCCACGTGGGTACCCGAATATAAAGCAGAACATTAAAAACTAAGAAAAGAAAACAGAATAACGAGAACCATAAAAAGTCTTCATTCGTCCCAGGGCCTTGATTGAATTGTAGTTCCACAATCACGTTGTAAATGTCTTCTAGTTGATTATCAATATCTTGGAACCTTGCAATGAAATTTTCATCCAAATAATGCTTGCCAGAGCCCTCGAGGCGGCAGTCATCCGCATATGCCTCCTTTGGTCCGAATGCGGTTCGCTCATTTGATGTAACATTGTTCTTTCGAGCCGAGACGGAGGTGTGTCACGGTTAGGCGGTGGATTGTATGGAATCATTTCCGGTGGGGTCACTTCTTCCATTGGATCGGATGGACGTCTTTGCGAAGTTCCGGGAATATCGGTGTTGATTCCTTCCTCTTGCTCTTCTTCTTCACTTTCTTCACTTCTCCCGACATCTTCTTTCGAGATCCATTCACCATCAATTTTAATGAATCCCATTTTGTGAAGCACAGAATTATTTATTTCATTCGTTGGTCGGACGGTTTCAACAAGTTCTCCTTCTACATTGACACCAAAATGTGTTAAAAACTTAGAAATCGAGAATAGCATAAGGATACACGAAATCACTAAGTCTCTTGGCTTTGATCATGTGGTCCTTGATGACGAAGACCCAGTTCACCGTATCCTGTGGTGAATGCGGTACATCAGTACTAAATCTCCTTCGTTTAGCACCGCATGATTGCTCCCCACGGGTGTGAGCTGCCAGGACACAATGAAGGCGAGAATCCTTTCTTCCGGCTTCAGCTTCCAGGTATTGAAAGAACTAACGGAATCACGAGTATTCTTCATGCATGGCCAGAAAGTCTTGAACTTTATTAAATTTGTCCACATCCGAAGTGTATCCTTTGGTAACTTTTACACCAACATCCTTTATTCCGAGCAACCTCCTTCCGGATGTTGGGTGTAATTTCAATGTCTACACCTTTA